CCACCAAGTAAAGTGCAAGCATGTGACCTTGGAAGAAATTAGATGTAATAAAAAGAAAGTAGATTTCACTGGAGCACTGTCATGGAGCTGTAACACTGTACCTACCTTTTAGCACAATTATGATAAGTAGGAATGTAAGTGAATAAGTCAGAAAGCATACATTATAATTTAATAATCAAAATTCCTCAGTATTTCTCTTTTCTTCATCTATAAAGCTCAGGAGTTTATTGTTTCATCTATTATAGTATAGAATCAAGCAGCTCAAGGGAAATGATTCTCCCCCTCTACTGTTATGAGACCCCACCTGCAGTACTGCGTCCAGATCTGGGGTTGCCAAGCACAAGACATGGACCTGCCAGAGCAGGTCAGGAGGAGGGCCATGAAGATGATCAGGGGACTGGAACAGCTCTTCTGTGAGGCCAGGCTGAGAGAGTTGGGATTTTTCAGCCTGGAGAAGAGAAGGCTCTGGGGAGACATTATAGGTGGCCTTTCAATACTTAAAGGGGATTTTATAATAAAGATGGAGGGAGATTTTTTTTCAGGGCCTATAGCGATGGGAAAGTAATGGTTTTAAACTGAAAGAGAGTAGATTTAGATTATAAAGAAAAATTTTTTTTTTTTTTTTTTTTTTTGATGATGAGGGTGAGACACTGGAACAGGTTGCTCAGAGAATTTGCGGATGCCCCCTCATTAGAAGTGTTAAAGGCCAGGTTGGATGGGGCTTTGAGCAACCCGATCTACTGAAAGTTATTCCTACCCTTGGCAGGGGCATCGGAATTAGGTGATCTTTAAAAAGAATCTTCCAACCTGAACTTCTATGCTATGATGATGTTCCTTGAGGTGTGTCCCCAGCTCTCCCTGTTGCAGATATTGGAGGCCCCCCCTATCTGCCCATCTGACCTGCTTTCTAGAAAGGTTTGCTGCTTGCTAGGGACATGAATCCAGGACATTGTGGAGACACTGTTGAAGCTTGTCTAGGCTTCAGACTATCCCCCTCTGCTGCTTTTCCATGTGGGCACCAACAGTACTGCCAGGGGAGACCTGATGTGTATCAAGAATGACTACATGGCTCTAGGGGCAAGGGGCAAGGGCATAGGGTCTCAGGTTGCACTTTCCTTGCTGACAAGTGTTTAAGTGCTTGAGGAGGACTGCATGGATCCTTTGGATCAACAGCTAGTTGCATAGCTGGTGTTAGCAGCAATTATTCAGATTTAACAACTTGAGGATCAGGAGTTGCTAGGAAGAGACAGAATCCACCTGACCATGTAGAGCAAAAGCATCTTTTCCAGCTGTCTGGCCAACCTGGTGAGAAGAGGTCTAAACTAGGAATGATACGGGAAGCAGATGATGGCCCAAAATCAAGTGAGGAAGTGGTGGACTGGTTTGAGAAACAAACGCTTCAGGGCATTGTGGACAAGAGAGACCATGGAAACAACAAACCATGGCTGAAGTGCAAGCATTTGACCATCTCAAGTGCAAACACGCAAACAGGGAAGTACTACTGTGTAGGCAACACGATGGGGGAAGTTCTTACACTTTTTCTGAGGAATCAACACAGGTGGATGCCTTTCTGAAGTGTCTGTGTGCTACTGCACACAACATAGGGAACACACAGAAGAAACTGAGATCTTCATGCATTTGAAAGCCTATGATCTCATCACAACGACAGAAACATAGTGGAATATTTCACATGACTGGAGTAGTGCCATCAATGGATACAGGCTATTTAGGAAGGACTAGACAGGACAATAAGGAAAGGTAGTTAACATTTATGTGAGCAAGCAGCAGGGGTGTATGGAGCTTTGCCTGGGGACAGGTGATGAGACAGGTCAGAGTTTGTAGATCAGGATTAGAGGACACAAAAAAGGTTGTGGCATTGTGGTGCATGTCTGATACAGACTGCCTGATATGAGAGAAACTGATGAGTCCTTTTTCAGACAACTGGAAGAAGCCTTGGGTTCCTAGCCCTTGTTCTTTAATCACCCTGACATCTGCTGGTGGGACAGCATAGCAGAGTACAAGCAGTGCAGGCATTTTCTGCAATTCTTTGGTGATAACTTCCCAACACAGGCAATCAAAAAGCTGACAAGATGAACACTCTAGTGGCCCTCATACTTAGAAACAAGGAAGAACTGATGGTGGATGTGAAAACTGGGGCAACCTTGGCCGCAACAACCATGAGACTGTGATGTTCAAGATTCTGAGAGAAGGGAACAGGGTACATAACAGTATCACAGCCCTGGCCTTCAGGACAGCAGGCTTTTTCATGCTCAGGGACCTGATTGTAAGAGTGACATGGGAGGTGGTCCTCAAGACAAAAGAGATCCAGGAGAGCTGGTTGATTTTCAAAGATCATTTCCTCCAAGCTCAGGAAAGGTCTATCCTGACAAGCAGGAAATAAAGCAAAGTAGAAGCAGGTCTGCATGGATGACTGAGGAGCTTGTAGCTGAGCTCAGGAATAAAAAGGAAGTGTACAAAAGGTGGAAGCAAGGTCAGATGACCCAGGAGGAATACAAAAATATTGTCTGAGCATGCAATGATGTGGTTAGGAGAGCCAAACCACCCGAATTTGAAACTGATAAAGGTCATAGAAGGCAACAAGAAGGGCTTCCACAGGTATATCAGGAGCAAACGGAAGACTAGGAAAAATATGGGCTCATTGCTGAGTGGGGCAGGGGACCTGAAAGCATGGATAAGGCCAAGGTACTCAATGCCTTTTTCACCTTGGTCTTTGCTGGTAAGACTTGCCTTCAAGAATTTCAGGTCTCTGAGGCCCACTGGAAAGACTAGAGCAAGGGAGACCCTCAGTGTAGGAGGGTCAGGCTATGTAACATTTGAACAAGTTGGCTATATGTAAGTCCGTGGGCCTATTGGGATCCACCTAAGAGTGCTGAGGGGACTGGCCCTGATCATTTTGAGGCTACATTTGCTTATCTGTGAAAGTTAGTGGCAAATGGGAGAGGTTCCTAAAGACTGGAAGAGAGCAAATGTCACTCCTATCTTCAACAAATGCAAGAAAGAATATCTGTGGAACTACGAACTGGTCAGCCTCATTTCAATCCTTGGGAAGCTGGAGGAACAAATAACAATAGAAATCATTTCCAAACATGAAGGATGAGGAGATTATTGCAAAAAGTGTGGATTTATAAAGGGGAAATGATGCCTAACCAAACTAATAGTCTTCTACAATGATATAACTAGCTTGGTGAGTGAAAGGGAGTGCTTGATGTTGGTTATCTTGTGTTTAGCAAGAGTTTTGACGCTATATCACACAATGTCCTCACAGACAACTGATAAGCACAGGCTGTTTAGGTGGACAATGACATAGACTGAAAACAGACTGAACTGCCTGGCTGAAGCTGTTGCGGTCAATGGCACAAAGTCAAGCTGAGTCTATTCGCTTGTGGTGTATCCCATGGGCTAGTAGCAGTTTCAATGCTGTTTAACGTCTTCATTGATGACCTGGATGATGAGGCAGAGTGTACATTCAGCAAGTTTGCAGCCAATAAAAATTTGGAGGACTGATTGACACACCAGAAGGTTTTAATGCCATTTAGAGGGATCCGGACAGACTGAGCAAATGGGCTGAGAGGAATCTCATGCTGTTCAACAAAGGGAAGTGCAAGGTCTTGCACCTGTGGAGGAATAACCCCAGCAAGGACTCACCAGTACACACTGGGGACTGACTGTGGCTTTGAAGTAAAAGACATGAGGGATCTGGTAGACACCAGATTGACCACAAGCTGGAAACACAGCCTTGCAACACAGAAGGTCAACTGTGTCCTGGGCTGTTTTAGGAAGAGTGTTGTCAGCTGGTCAAGGAAGGTTATCCTTCCCCTCTACGCGACCGTGGTAATGAGACATGTCTGAATTGCTGGGTCCAGCTCTGGGATTCCTACTACATGAAAGATATGGACATATAGGAGCGAATCCAGGAAAAGGCCACAAATATGATTATGGGCCTGGAATGTCTGCCATGTAAGTTGAGATCAAGAGAGCTGGGACTGGAGAATAGAATGGTCGTGGGGAAATCTTATCCACATATATTAATACATGATGGAAGGGTGTATAGAAGACAGAGCCAGGCTCTTTTCAGTGGTGTCCAGTGACAGGACAAGAGGTAATGGGTGCAAACTGAAATACGGCTTTTTACTGTGAGGATGGTTGAAACCTGGGATGAGTTGCTCAGAGAGGTGTAGTCTCTATGCCTGGAAATACTCAAAACCTGACTGAACATGGCCCCAAGAAACCTGCTGGAGCTGGCCTTGCTTTGAATGGGGAAGTTGGACAGGATGATCGCCAGAGATGCATGGCAACCTTAACCATTCTGTGATTCTGTAATGCCCAGACTGGAAAACTGATGATACAAAGTCCTGCATTCCAGTACTAAACTGTAATTCAGCTTACTAAAGTTGTAATTTATTTATGATGCCAGTAAAAAAACATTTGATTAATAGAACCAGGCCCTATTCACAGCTGACAGGTTTTCATTTTAGAATATTTTTGTTTCTTTCCCAGAATAATATGCCATGATATTATTTTTAACTACTGTACAGATAGCTTGATATACTGATTTTAATAGTGGCTTAAATCTACAGCCTCCATGAAGGCCCTGAAAATGAGCTAAATGCAATGGACATGATTTTTCTCTTCTTAATTTTGTTAATTGGAATTAATTGCAGATAAATTAATAGAGATTTTCACCCTAAGAATACAGTAAGAACAGAAATGTTCAAAGTACTTTGTGGCTTCAAAGCAAGGAAGAGGTTTCAGCATTAGTAATAAATTACAATAGAAGCCCGATCTCTTCTGCTCACTTTGTTTTATTATCTAGTAATAGCATTATCATTAAAACACAACCATCTTAACATTTGGAAAAGAACAGGAATAGCAGAAATAGGTTATACTTGACTGGGCACAGGTCAGTCTGGGGATGTTAGCAGTGGGACTTCGTATCCTATTGAAGTAACATTCATTATCTTTCATTTCTTTACTTCTAGGGTCCGAGGTGGTTGGCTTTGATGGCAAAAGTTGTCTAATTTACACATTTAATCAAAAACTCATGAGTGCACTGAAAGATGTGATTTCTCTGAAATTTAAGACAATGCAAAGTGATGGAATTCTCCTCCACAGAGAAGGACAAAATGGAGACTACACCACCCTGGAATTAATTAAAGGGAAACTGTCCCTACTCATTAATTTAGGTAACAGTTACAGTCTCATACATGTTAATATATTTATTAGATATTATTTGACTAAAACTTCTTTTAATTTATTAAGTGGATTTTAATGTAAAGAGTATGATTAACTAGCAGTATATATTTGAAAAATTATAATTTTATATGGAATTAATAGTTTTTATTTTTCTTCTTTCAAGGTGATATTAAAACTCATCCTTCTAATGCCCAAATTAATATTACACTGGGCAGCCTTTTGGATGATCAACAGTGGCATTCTGTTCTCATTGAGCACTTTAACAATCAAGTAAACTTTACAGTGGATAAACACACTCATCACTTTTATGCAAAAGGAGAATTCAATTATTTGGACCTTGATAATGAGGTGTGAACATTACTTTTCCTTTACTACATTCATTAATTTTGTTATGTAAACACAGTGAAACAAGCAAAGGAGACAGAACTTAAGGAAGTTTGTAGTGCTTGAGACTTTGGGGATTTTCTGCTTCCTAAAGGAATGAATCAAAGAAAAAGAGATGTTCTTATATTACTAATGCTCCACTAGACTTGCAACTCAAAATTTTCAAAAGACCATCTTTTTCATCTCAGAATTCATTATTTTAGTACGTTTGTTTCAGTAGTGCTGCAAATGCAGTAAAGAGTATGTAAACATAAGGAATGAACCCCATCTCAAATTTATTATTTTATAGCTTGAAGAAAATTACAATAAATCAGCATAAAACCATTTTAGAAATGTTTAGATTAAGACTTAAATTCTTGTTAAATCTGGCAAATGTGGAGTGAAAAAATCTTGCTTACACAAATGGTAGATTCATGAAAAGAAGTAGATGTAATTTGCTGTGACAGTTTCCCACCTATGGTTAAAAATACCACTATTTCACAGTTGTAATATGATGACTGACTGTTTTATGTTTGCTCCTGTCTTGTTTGTTGGATAAGACAATGAGTGATAGAGCAGAGTGTCTGGAACCTGCAGATCTAAATTACTTCATTCTATTCATTGAAGTTTTTAAGCAGTTTAAAGTAAGATTTCATGCTGTTCTGTGTCTGCATTATCCCATTTCAAAAATATCATTCAGAAGACTAAACTCATGATTCTACTTAAACTTTCTGAATCTAAGCCACAATGCCAAGTCTTGGAGGATCTTACCAATTTAAAAGAAAAAAAAAACACAAAAAACCACTACCAAAAGACCCAACAGAGTAAAAAAGAAAGGGAACAATAAACGTTAGTTTTGACTGATTGGCAAATACATTTATTTTACTAAATCAACTAATATTGCAAAGTAATTTTTTCCTCTCTTCCATGTACTGGACTTTGAAGTATGTGTTACTAATACAAGGTGGAAAGGAAAGCTGAAGCTGGGAAAAAAGCCCCAAAAAATTTTTAAAAAATTAATCACTCTACTTTTAATTGCATTTCTGATTGTAAAAATTTTTCAATATAATAACTTAATTAAACATGATGTATTTAATTTTGTGGGTTTTTTCATAAAATTATTTTAAATATTAAGTGGAATTTCAAAATTAAAGGATAAATAGTTTAAACTAACTTTCTACACTGTCAACCAGAACAGCTTTGAAATGGGTGAGGTCAAAAGTTCAGTTAAACTTGCATCCTGTTTTTGGTGGTGCCCAAGAGTGGAAACATAGACCAGAGTATAACTCAAGTCACCTTTGTGGCAATGCTTTTCTAAAATAATCTACGGCTTTCTAACAGTTTCTGCCTCAGGGACTTATTAAGACAGAGTCATATTCTTGAATTTAATAGCTCTCAATGGATTTTTATTAAATCTTCTGATCTCTTTCTGAACCCAAGTAAACCTACAGCATCACATCAAGGAAGAGCAAGCCTAAGTATTTTGAAAGAGAAAACTTATCTCCTTTCATTTGTTTCGAAACAGCCCTAGAATAATTTAATTTGATGTACTCTTGTTCTCTATTACAGTAGGTAATGATTTGCACATAATAGAGAAGACAGGCTCAAATTTCCTAAAGAAGTTATTAATCAATTCTCTTCCTTTTTGCACTGTCCAGCATGGTCTGCATGTACTGGGCCTCATCCTTCTACTACTTAGTTTTGCAGATGTAATGGACCCTGAAAACTGATCTGTCTCTATATGAAACAACTGTTAAGAGGCATCCTCAGAAGAAAAAAACCCAACATTTCAGAATATCGTAACGCACACATACGACTTGAGATATCCTAATTTTTGTTAGCCTGTTCTTTTAATATGTAGATGTTATACAAGGAAATAGCCAAGAAGTAGCAGATTCATTACTGGCCAGTCTTTGACTTCTGCTCCTACATTATTGGCAACGTCTTTCCTTAGAAACTTACTCAATAGTATTATTGATTTATCTTCTTTTTCTAAGATCAGCTTTGGAGGGATCCCAGTGCGTGGAAAATCAGGGACATTGTCACGCAGGAACTTTCATGGGTGTTTTGAAAATATTTACTATGATGGAGTGAATATTATTGACCTGGCCAGGAGGCATAAATCTCAGATCTACTTTGTGGTAAGAGATACATAGTTAAGAAAGAATGCATAAGTAAAATAGAGAAAACAAAAAAACACAGTCACTTTCATACACAACCTGTTAACACACAGTTCTAGCAAAATCTATGTTGTTTAATAAAAGAACAATCAAGGAATCACCTAATTGGGCTGTTTTATATTTGCTGCTGTACAGGCTCATCCAGTAGACAGTGCAGGATGCATTTTATTCTTCAGCTTTTTAGCTAATGTTTAAATGTGTGTGGTATCTCACTGTTGTGCACATACAAAAGACAGAGTAAAATAAGATGTACTTGAAGTCATCAAAGCTCTGGCTTTGACTTCTGCACTTCACTAGTAAGAACTAGTAAGAATTTTGAAAACCTTCTATTGCTGAGGACACTGATCCACTCTGTTCTGTCCACAGCATTATAATTTTGATAGATGAGTTCTGTTTGCCAATTTATACTGCCCTTTGTCTGAAAAGCTGTAGTTTATGTTGGTGGGTTTAATGCATTTATTGTGACATGGCCAACAGTTGTATTATCCAAATGCCTAACATATAGAGAAATGGTTGCAATGACAAACCAACTGACAGAAGGTTTTCTGCAAATTTTACTGAGTCCTTTGGGGTTTTTTCGAATAGTACAAGAGTCAACTCTGTTCGCAGTATTTATTTATTTAGCAACCAGAAATTCAGAGATATGGAAACAATCCCTTCAAAATAATTAATAAAATATGAAATGCTTTCAAGTTCCAAATCTTTTGATTTGTATTTCAGTTCAGAATATGAACAATCTGTCCTAGAAAAAATGGATGACAGACATCTCTTCTCATGCAAAGCTCATCTGAAATATTCCAGAATTAACTAAACTGATACCTTTGTATAATATCCTGTCCACGGTGCTGATGGATGTTGAGGAGAGGGCAGTTATAGGAGGTTTAGTGTGGATGAGTGAAAGGGCAACTATGAAATTATTCTCATAGGAAACTTCTTCATCTTCTTCTCAAATGATTTAAACTGTTGTGCTACTTTCAAAACTATTTAGGAGATGTTTTGTAATCTAAATGTGCCAGAAAGTATCTATGTTACCACAGAATCCTTGTTAAATAGCCACTTTACTGGTCTGATACAGTATTAGGCAGCTGCCCAGATAACACAGAGGGGGAATCTGCAGATGGTAAGCTTTTAACATTTAATAAGGTTTATTAACCTGATGACTGCCTTTTCACTATGGGTCAGTTCCATTGACTATTCATTTCTCTACAGTTGAAATCATAAGACAGAGCTTTTATTTATTTATATATTTTAATCTAAGAAAATGAAAACAGATAAACTTCAGTGTCTTGCCATGCCAGGGGCTAGTGAGTATTTTTCTTAAATTAATTTTCTAGCTTTTTACTATAAGGTCAAAGTTTTATGTATGTTCAAAAGTGTAAAAGCTTTTTGTGTTGAACAGAAGTTAAAACATACTTTAAATTCTAAAATGTAAAAGATCTTTGTGTTGAACAGAAGTTAAATATACTTTAAATTCTAAAGATGTTAATCTTTTAGTAATCATCTGTACAGGACAAATTTGTTATAGTTCAAATTGTGTCAGCAAGTCATTAGATCAAAGTGCATATTGTATGACTATCAAGAGTCATGAAGTATCGACTAACTCTGACATAAGATGCAAAAAATGCCTCATTCTTAACCCAACCTTCTTATCTATATCACTCAGTACACCCACACATGCATTGACATAAGATCAATGTCAACAAGCTCATCCAAAAGTTCATTTAGCTACCTAAGAACCAATGATTTCAGAAGTGAAGCACAAACTAAAGGCTAGGTGCCTAAATACTACTCATGATCTGGTCCATATGGGCCTGCCTGAAAACATGTTTCCTTCTGATTTATGAAGTAAGTGTTTCACACTTGTAAGCATCAGGAATTTACACATGCAATTTTCTTTGATTATTTGTGAAAATAAATATTGGGGTCAGCAGACATCTCCAGTTGCATTGATTTGGAAAGTCTGTTCCTTGGTCCAGCAAGATTTTTTTAGTCAAATGTAACACTATCTTAAACAACCAGTAGCCAAGCTCAACATTTTTCTCTGCATACAAGCATTTAGACCCATGTAAATATTTGTAGCAAACTTTGCATTCAGTGACATTTTATCTGACATTCAGAAATTTGTTAAGTTCATAATGCTTCCTGAGGCTGAGCCAAAACAGAAACAAAGCAGGTCTAACTCCTGAAGCACTGTTAAATCACCTACGTAATTTATGATCTTACCTCATTCACTCAAAGGTCCTTGCCACTCTTTGCTCAGGCAGATATGTCTGTTCCGGTCAAACAACTAGGTAAATATTTCTCAAGCTGATGAGATTCTTACATATTCAAACTTGCTTTTTAAACACATTCAAGTATTACAAATACTAAGTTCTATGCACGATATTTTGAAATTCTGTAGTTTCCTATAAATGTTCTCATGACTGCTTTTCCCCAAATGTTCCTAATGCTGTATTTGTTTCCTTTCTCTTTCTAGGGCAACATGTCCTTCTCATGTTTAGAGCCACAGGTGGTTCCTGTTACATTTCTAAGCTCCAGTAGTTACCTGGCACTGCCAGGCACACCAGGGCAAGACGAAATATTAATCAGTTTCCAGTTTCGCACCTGGAACAAGGAGGGACTTCTATTATCCAGTAAACTACACCAGGCTTCAGGTGGTTTCCTCTTATATCTGAGTGACGGGACAGTTAAAATCAGTCTTCATAAACCGGGAAAAGTACTGAGTGAAATCACTGCAGGTAACAAAACTAAGAAAAAAAAAAAATCCAATCTTCCTACGCATAAAATTGGTTGAGGTAAAGTCATTTAAATTAGTACCTATATTCCTCATTTAGTTTTATGACTAGTATGCATGTAACTATGCTTTAGCTTTGTGAATTTTAATCCCAAATGTTTCTAAATAATTTCTTTTCTCACAAACATGCATCTATGCTTTTTTTCCCCATGTATGAGTAGGAATAATATAGTCTGTAAAGTTGAGTCCTTAGCTTTACATACATACAGTAGGTAAAGCTCATGCATAAAATCTGGAAAATTTGAGACATCCAAGCAACTTTTTGAGTGGTGAAGTGTAAACAAGTTTATTTCTTACTCTGCCAGGCTAAGCCATTAAGATGTTTCTCACCATTTGATAGTGCCTTCACAAGGCATCAAGTAACTCATTTTTCTGTAAAGTTATACATTATTATTAATATTGTATTTGTTATTTTCTAGAGGTCTCAATTACAGAATTTGGACAGTGGATGCCCAATATCATCCTGTGTTCCAGAAAGCTGGAGCATATTTGGGTCTACAGTAAAAAAAAAAAAAAAAAAAAAAAAAAAAAGTAAGGAAAAGAAAGAAGTTGAGGACACTGAATAATTGAAAGCTAAAGGGTGACTTTTGTACTCTGAATTGAGACTAGATCATCTACTTTTGGTAGTGTGCACTGCTAGGCAGTCTTCAGGGTGGAGCTGAAATTTCCAGAAAGCATATCCTCTAGTCTTCTTCTGTGCCGTTTCCCTATTGATAAATAAATATATAAGGACAAGAGGATGAGGCAAATATAGTAAGATAAGTCATGTTAAAGAATGTCCAACTGGAATTCTGAGAAGCAGCTCTCATCTTTCTTTTTCACTCAGTTTGGGAGCAAGTGGACTCCATCATTCACAAAGAGGCTCCTCAGTTTTTCTGAGTGCTGTTAGCACTTGATGTGAGAACAGCAAGACTGCTGGCCCAGCCAGGAATCTCCTTCTTTCATGAAATGTGAGAGTGGGACACAGCTGACAACATCTCCATCTTCCACAACTTTTTCAAAGATGATGAGAAGCAGCAATAGTACCATTTCATAATATCAACACCTTCACATAGCAGCACTTTGTCATAATACGCTGTGCTCTGACACTCCATGCATCATGGCTGCCTGAGAGTTTCTCACTCTTTATGTAAACAAACTGAATTTTCCCCCTTTCTTGTAGAAGGATAAAATGACCATTCCAGAATGAGTTGTCAGGTAAGAAAAACAGGACTACAGAGATTAGGTGGATAAATGGTATTCTAAAGAATATATGAAGTTGAGGAAATGTGGCTGGGTTTGGAGAGGCTTTTGTATCGACAAAGATGACCAGAGACCACTAGCTGGAGGAATATGTCATAGAAGCAATGGGTAATTTGGCTGCAGAAAACACAATGATGATCTTCAAAACATGAGTTGATCCTAAATTTATTTTGAACAATCATGTATTTCATATTTCGTATTCATAAAGCAGGAATATTATCAGTGAAAAAGAAGCCAAGTTAGTTCCAGTAATGTAATGTGTAAACTGAATTAACACATGAATTACAAGTAGGAAAACTGCATTTTGAATTGGTACTTAGAAAACAAGTTAAGTGTTTGAATGTGTGAAATATTTAATCTTGCATAGAGTATATTCATTGGAGTGACAGGGACTGAACCGTCTTCTTTCAGGGGATTTTTCACACCAGAATATAGAAAGCTTAATGATGCTGTTTAGTACTAGTTTGTCTTGAGCAATAACAAGTACAGTAAGTAAAAAAAAACAGTTACTGAAATAAAAAAAAAAAAAAAAAAAAAAAATTAAGGCCCCCAAATCTCTTCCAACCCCATAGAATCAAAAAGTCATGTAAAAGAGGGAGAAAATTTCTCAAAAAATTACGGTTGGTATAAACACAAAATAAGAATCACTTTAAATGCTCATAAATCCTGTGCTTGGCAACATAAGACAGTCAAAGAAAGCGAAGGAGAGTCAAACACAGCAAAGAAACAGCCATAGAATTTGAAGATGAGATCTCCTTAATCTTAGTTCTGTGCCCCTGTTGCTTTTAGATTGATTCTTTACTTCAGTTCCTGATACAAAAAGAAAAGTCCTTTGAGGGAAAAAAAAATATAGAACAAGAAAAAAGGTAAAGTTAAAGTCTGAGGCTCATTATATTTCTACAGATGTATAATGATTAAAAGCAAAATTTTAAACAGTTGATTATTTTAATTCAGGAAAAGACTGTAAGCCAGTAATGACCATGGATAATGTTGAAATTTACATAAGTACTTTGATCCTGTTTCTGTGGGTGATAATAGGATCAGCCTTGGTATTTGTTATAACCTAAAATAACTGAATATAACTAAAATAAACATCTTACTCTCCTCTGAGAAAGAAGTTTTCTAACAAAACCATATGGGGAACTTTTTCTTGAATTTTTGAAGCGTTTATTGTTACACTCACTGAAGCAATTCAACTATGCATTTGTAGACTGAGTAATTAAATTAGGGATGGCTGGTCAGGTTTGTTCCCCTACAGGCAAGGACTTACAACCTGACTTACACACACACACAGAGAATATTTGATAATTAAATCAGAGCACATTTATTTGTGCTCAGTTCTTAAATTCATTATCATGTGTTTTCTAAAGATTTCTTCAACCATATAAAAACAAGCAGAATAACATGTTAATTAATGAGTGATTAAGTTATAATAAGCTGTATCCTTCTTTTGCAGAATGGTTGCTTAATATCTTTCCTTTGTAGTCTCTTTTCCAAGCTGGTCACCAAATATCCACAAAGAAACAACATAGATTTAAAAAAAAAAAAAAAGAAACTAACACAAAGTTAGTTGAATGATGAAGCCAGTTTGAATTACAACCTGTATAAATGTTTGAGATCTTATTACCCAGTTTCTTCATATGACCCTGTCTTTCTATTCAGCTTTTAATTAGTCATGTTAACAATCATTGCATTTGGTGGTTATACTTCAGACCAATTTATAAATTACTTTCTCTGAAGTAGTTTTTTTGTTTGTTTGTTTCTCACTGATCTCCTAATAAACTATATACATTGTCTTTATGTATGTGTTTCTAAGGTTGGATGCCATTGTTCTGCAAGACCTCCCACAGACCTCGTTTTTTGATAATACAATGATGGAGGTACTACTAATGAGAATAAATGGATAATTTGCCTAATATCTACCTTATTACACACTAATTGCTATTTTTCCCTCCCTTGTTTCTGGTAAAGCATTTTCAAAACTCCTAGTAGAGCACCAGACAATATAATTTTCAGATGGAATGGAAATGTCCATTGACCCCCACCATTTATATGTCACACCATTCCGTGGCTTTGCACAAGCAAAATGTGAATTTAATCAAGGTTCTCAATTCAAAGGTTACAATGAGCTGTTTTCTCAGGACACACAATGAGACACACAATGACATTCCTCAGTCCCCAGAATTAATGAAAGGGTCTTTTGGAAAGGCTTAACTTGAGCTAAAGGCACATCATTTATTATCTCTAATCATGCTAGCCTGTACGAAGAGATAAAATATCCATCCCAAAATCATTTAGTAGGTCAGTATGATGAACTAAAGTAAACAACCCAAAAAGTGACAAATTCATATAATTGATTTTACAGTAACCGAAATTTTTACTTCAGCCATTTGTTCAATCTCCTTCTTTATGTTAGGGCATTCTCTTACCTACCTTGACAGGCAAATATTGCAATAGTTGAGATATGGTTTTCTCACCAGAACAAGAAGTCACTGAAGCAGGATGCAAAACTGAGAATTAAAAGCAATTATCCTTGCAAAAATTGAAATGAAATTGCGGAATTTATTGTTAGATTTATTATATTCAGTAATGACATAGACAGTGGGATTGAATACATCCTCAGCAAGTTTGCTGATGACACCAAGCTGAGTGGTGTAGTTGAATCAACAAAGGAAAGAGATGCCATCCAGAGGGACCTTGGCAAGCTTGAGGAGTGGGCCAATGTGAAGCTCCTGAAGTTCAACAAGGCCAAGTGCATCTTGGTCAGGGCAATCCCCAATATCAATACACACTGGGGGATGAATGGGTTGAGAGCAGCCCTGCAGAGAAGGGCTTGCTGATAATGGTGGATGAACATTGCATATGAGCTTGTGATGTGTGCTTGCAGCCCAGAAAGCCAATCACATCCTGGGCTGCATAACAAGAAGTCTGGCCAACAGGTTGAGGGAGGTGATTCTGCCCCTCTCCTCCACTCTCATGAAACGACACCTGGAGTATTGCATTCAGATATGGGGTTCCCAACTCAAGAAAAACATGGAACTGTAAGAGTGGGTCCAGAGAAGAACCATGAAAGTGTCCAGAGGGCTGAAGCACCTCCCCAGTGAGGAAAGGCTCAGAGATTTGGGGGTTTTCAGCCTGGAGAAGAGAGTGCTCTGAGGAGACCTTATTGTAGCCTTTCAGTACTTAAAAGGTGGCTTATAATAAGGATGGAGATATATTTTTTTCATAGGGCTTGTAGTGACAGGACAAGGGGTAACAGTTTTAAACCGAAAGAGGTTAAGTCCCACCCCTGGAAGCGTTCAAGGTCAATTTGTACGGGGCCTTGAGCAACTTGGTCTAGTAGAATTCCCTGCACATGGCAGGGAGATTGGGCTAGACAATTTTTAAAGGTCCCTTACAGCCCAAACTATTCTATGTATTTATGATTACTAACGGAAAAGACAGCATATCACAGAGATGTGATTGAGAAAAACTTCGTTCACTTGAAGTACCTCTACAAATAAAGAAATTCCTTGCTCAATCTTAGAGGTGAGGTGAAAGAAGCTGGAGCTTTTGCTAGCTGGGGATGGAGGCTAGAAAGATGGAAATAAGTAAATAGGGAAGTTATTCCTTTTTAAAAAACGATTCTCTGAAATGGATAATCTTTAAAAAAACAGTGTAACAATTGGCGTTATAGACTATACATATTTTACAATTTACTTTCCTATTGAAGGATAATTCTACAATAATTTAGAGAAGAAAGCTAATTATATTACTGGGAATTTCTCAGACTTAATTTTCTGTGCTTTAAAAAAATACATTATCCATATTCGTTGTTTTAACATACCTACTATCTCTTTTTTTGTAGTTCACTGAGGTTCATAGTGGTATAAAGGACCTAAGGATGCTTTATGTGTTTGTGATTCTTTGATGATTTTTGTCTGAAGTTAGTAAAACCTTTTGACATGTTTGATGAGTTCTTGCTGTAAAATGGTACTAAAAAAATAGGAGAGATAAATAATACTAAGTCTAGAAACTTCATTATACAGTGTGACTCACCTATGCCCATGACATTGCAAGACAGCAATAATATTTTTCTAATGCTTTATCTATTCTTTTTTTTAAATGTCTGTTACTCTTCATATTATCTAATGAAAAATATAACTAAAATCTAAATGGCTAGGCTTTAAGGCATTGTTTTGATCTTCAGCTCAATAGTATGCCAGCCCTAGTATAAAGTACATCAGCGTGAAGGCTGCTGTAAGTTCTATTAACCACCAGTAGTACAAGAGGACTTCTTCAGCAGTTGGACATCTTGAAAATATAGGGAAACTCTAGTCACTCCCTCCACATTGCCTGTAGGGCTATGTAAATGCTTGTTATCAAAAGATTACCCCTTCCCAGGTGACGTTTTGATAGTCAGACATAATAGCATTAATACCATTTTATATTGTGATTAATAAGGTTTCCAATTTTTATTTTAGTAGAAAGTCCGTCTCTATAAATATCATGAGTACAGAGTTTTACAGAAGGAGAAAATACATCTATTTACCCAGAAAATCAGTGACAGCTTTAATGCTGATTATTTAGTCTGTCTGTAAGAGAATTGCTCCTGTTAGCAAACTCAAATGCCACTTCTCATAGAAGATTGCAACTAAAATATTGGCCAGAATAGTATCAGAAAAACCATGACTGTGACCCTGCGCTTTCTGCCTTTATGTTAGAAAGGTGAATTGTTCCTGAAAGTGCAGCACAAAGATAAGAGGATCTGTTAGCCATAGCTTTTATATAATTCCACTGAGGCTGAGGATAAAGCAAAATGTTTAAATTTTCTTGTTATGCAGTCCCTGATAAATATAGTAGTTGAAGTAAGGAAACAATTAATAGAAAATGTATATAAGACTAATATTATGTTAAATATATTAGAGATATTTTCTAGATGATAACTTTTCTGAATTTTTAATGTGATTCTAAGATTTAGCTCTTGATTGTATGCCGATCTTGTAATTAGACTGTGGTAGTCAACAATATATGGATCCTAGTTATTTGAATCTTCTCATCTTTCTATTTTTATTTCTTTTCCTTCAGTTTGAACTAATCAGTTAACTGGTGGACTATTTCTCTAGAATATACAGCACATACTAGAGAGGAGTATATAAAGACATGAAATTTCAAGATGGAAATCACAGATCACAAATGATAGGCACTGTATAGTCAAGAAAAGATTTTACATAATTCAAAGGTTATATTCTTTGTTCTTCACTGAAAGAAGTATCTCAATTCTGAAGAACACTCAAGAACATGACTGACTTAAAGCACTTCTTCAAGATAATAATGTGCTTATATACTGCCCTGTATAAGATTTATTTGAGTATATATGTAAGTGCTTCCCAGAATCAGCGCTTTAGGTTTATTGCTTTGTGCCACCTTCCTACACAGACAGAGGTAATGTAAATTGGTGTTAGAGGCTAAACTCTCAGAAAATTTTCCCATACATTCCCAATAAAAGAGACAACCGAAAGAAAAATAATCTTGTGACATTGACATGATGGTTTCTGAAGCTTTTAGCAACTACGGGTTTTTGCTATTTTACTGGTCATAATATAATGACTACATTTGATATTAAAAGATGAAGAAATCCTTTGTAATAGTGCAGTAAAAATGTGTATTATGTGTAAAATACTGTATCATCCATCACAATATCTTAATGATAATCTCCTTAGATTGGGAGGATACTTTTCATAGTCACTACATTAAATGGATATATTACTGATAATTAGGAGTATTACAACCACAAGGCTTATTTACTGAAATACTTTTATTTTTTCTTTATCAGATGTGAAAAAGGGAATGCAAAAAGGTCCTGACTTCACAAAAGACTTTTTTTTTTTCTTCCTTTCGTTATCACTTGGAGTTTTTATGTGGGTTATGATTGCTCTAGCAGTCTACTCCTTTCAAGTTTATAACATTCAAGTAGTATAACAAATAATGGATGTTTATACTGCATTTTGCTTTTTATTTTCCTGTCAGGTGCTGGATTAAATAATGGCCAGTGGCATTCTGTATCCTTCTCTGTCAAAAGGAATCGTATCAGTGTAATAGTGGACAATGATGTGACCTCATCTGCTCATGCTTCCATACCTCTGCAAATTTATTCAGGAGATGCTTTCTACTTCGGAGGTGAAATATGTTGTTTATTTATGCTGGCAATATCACACAGTTAAATCATTTTTTTTCTGACATGTCTACTCAAATGGCAAGAGTTATTTGGCTTGCCTCATGTCTTCTTTTCCTAGCTTGGATATCTCTCAAAGGATCTGATTTTCAAGCACTGCTTTGATGTCTTTGAGTTTGTATTTCTTTAAAATTTTATAATGTTGGGTAGAACAAATTACTACCCTAAATCCTTGGTCACTTTTTAGAACATAGTTTTATGATATCATGCTCTGGTAATTGCAAACAGTCTGGCTGAAAATTAGACAGACACACAAAGGTCTCTTTTGTTGCAAAATTACTGTTGCTAAATCAACTTTCTGTGAGAATTTTCCACTGGGATGACTTCAAGTTTTCACCTTAAGTGAATACTTACTTAGTTGTGCAAATATCCTCTTTACATGATACACACTCTTTATTTATTTATTTTTTTACCACAGTGACAGAACTTTCTTATGTTTGGAGAATATAACTTGTGCCTAAAAAATATATTCATATAGATCTGTTTCCCTAGGAATGTTGACAATTATCTGTCATCAAGTGATTTTGTCATTAATCACATATGTTGTTACTGATAGAGTTGAGCAGGTTGTTATGTCTGAAACAGTTGGGAATGGACTACGTAATGCATCTGAATGCATTATTCAACACTAACCTAATGCTTTGTCTCTTAGCTTAGGAACTCATGACTGAACTATTTATTAACAGTTCTCATATTTCCGAGAAAGTTGAAAAATGCTTAAAAAACCTTAAATGATACAGATCAGTTCCTTGGAAACAATAGATTGTAAATAAATTTCAGGCTCACAAGCAGACCATAAATATAGGAACTGCTACATGAGTATCCATATGACTTTTCACATCTGGCATCTAGCCTTCTCTAGTAAAGGTACCCCTTGACCTGGCTGATAAGCAGAGAAAGATATATAATATTGGCCTTGAACAGTCAGAACTTTTTTTTTTTTTTTTCATCTATGTTGCTTCATGTTCCCACATCTCTGATTAGGTGATTTACACCATTGCAGGGTTAATGGCACAGGTGAAGAGATCAGGAGAGATATGGGTAGTTGCAAAAAGCAGCAGAGTCAATTAAGTTGGACAAGGACATTTCTATTTATCTTTTGTATCTTTTGGAGGGTTAAGGGGGCAAATTAATTCCAAGAATTTTGAAAGTACTAACTGAATATACACCCCTCAGCTTCTCTGATTTCAGCTTTATAGCTGAAATCAGCAGCTTGTGCATGTCATACAAACTTGGGAAAAACTAGTAGAAGGTTTCTGAGTTTAGAAAATTGTTTATTAAAATTTTATGTCATATACCACTGTCAAAATGCAGACAATGCACTTTTACTTTCTTTCTAAGTTTATATGAATATTTACTGTGTTTCTATATGCCGGTTGTTAAAACATGAATATCAGCCTTCCAGGAGAGGTGTCCTGGGGACATGGTGGTTAGTTTGCTGGTTTTAATGAATACAAAGTAATAAACATGAAAATACTTTAGCGTTATGTCAGCACAAGTTCTAGTCATGCTATCATCAGAATATACTACTTCTCAGTTCTTGGAATAATAACTCATTGCAACTGCAAGGGAAAAAAAAAAAGAGATTATTTAATATTGCAATAAGCACATAGGGTAAATTTCATTATCAAAGGATTCCTTCTCATCTTTAATATCTGGCCCACAATTACAATGAATCCCAGTTTTGCTACTATTAATGATGTTGCCTTTTCTTTAACAGAACTAGAAGTCAACTTCTAAAAGTCAGACAGCAAGAAAAAAATCTGAGACACAGTTTTGTAGAATAGCTAAGTGTAATGCACATAAAATTTTTCTGCCTTCTCTGGTTTCTTTTTATTATTTTTATTTTTTTTATATGAACTCCACTGGAATTATATCGTCCTTAAATGAGTGTCAGATTTTTCACCAGAAATGATAGAATTTGTTTTACCTTTTCATTGTAGAATGCTGTAAAGAATCTGGCTAAACCTGTAATTGTTTTGTTTAACTGTGTGTGGTGCTGAAAAGTTACGGTGCTCCTATTTGGACTTTTGCACATCCACAGATTTATTGTTCTTACAGCAATATACCAAATACATAATAATCATTTTACTTTAAAAAGCTAGTAACAGTTTTGAACAGTTTGGTTCCTCACCAGCACAAAAACAACTGAGAATTTATTTACTTAGTTCATTTCAGTTTAGTTAATTTTCTGCTGTATACTTCTTAAAAACATATCTATACTATTTATGTTGGTATACACTCATTTGAATCAATCTACTAGTTTCCACTGTTATTTTGCTTTCCTGTATAGTAAACCTCTCCACTGTCTTTAGAGGACTCCAGAAAGTACCCATTAGCTCTGTGAAATAGACAAGTGTCTTAAAAGTCACTGCTTCCTAACATCATGAAACAGGAAGTTCTCTGAATATTGTGAAACAGAATGCAGTACTGTTTGACTAAGATTATAGAATGGCCCTTGTGCATCATTCCAGAAGCAATATTACCATTTGGAAGAAAGCCAAAGAAAAAAACATTTAGAAATATTTTGTCATACAGTGTTCAGCTGCTGCTGAGAAAAACTGCTCCATGGATGTCATGTAAATCAAATCAAATCAGGATCAAAGTGATTTATTGATTTATTAACAATATTTAATTAACTGGCAATCAGTGAAGAAGGCATTTCATGATCAGTAACACAATATACAAACCACAATATTAGATACTTACAGAAAGTCATTCATAGGTTGTGTAGGACATCCAGATATTGTCTAGTCCAATGTTCTGTTCTGAACAAGTCTGATTAGATCAAGATGTACAGGGCTGTGACCACTCAAACCTTGAACAGCTCTTAGGATGGAAATCTCATGACTCCTCTGGGCAAATTATTCTCATATTGACCACCCTCGTGGTGAAAACACTTGTCGCTAATGTATGATCAGAATTTGCCATTTTTTACTTTCATGCTTTGCCTCTTGTCCCATCACTGTGCAATTTTGGAAAAAGTCTGGCTCCATCTTCTCTGTATCACCTTATCAGATAGCTTTATGTTCTCTTAAGACTGAACAGGCTTAGCTCTCTCAGCCTCTCCTCATATGCCCTGTGCATTCAGCTCCCTGACCATCTTGGAGGCCTCCTCTGGATTCACTCCAGGATGTCAATGTCTTTCCTGTACTGGAGAGCACAGAACTACAGCACTCCAGATGTTGTCTCACAAGTGTCACAGAGAGAGAAGGACCACTTCCCCAGATTTGCTGGCTGTGCTTTTGATAATACAGCCCAGAATGCCACTGGTCTTCCATGATGCAAGGGCACATTCCTGGCTCATGCTCTACCTGTTGGCCATCAGGACCCCAGCCATATTTCTATGGATCTAGGCAGTTGTCTTCCAGCTTGGATAGTTGCATTGACTTGTTCCATCTCAGATTAAAGACCTTAAACTTGTTCTTACTAAACTTCATGGTATTCCTGTCCGCTTATTTCTGCAGCCTGCCCAGGTGCCTGAGTTGCAGCCCTGCCCTCCAACATTTGACCCCTGTCACCAATCTGGTATCAGTCATAGGCTTGCTGAAAATGCGGTCTGTCTCATCATCCAAGTCATTAATAAAGACATTAAATATCATAGCTCTCAGTATTGATCTCTGAATGACAGGCAAAAAAAAGCACAAGCTTTTGACACTGTCTCCCATCACATCCTCATAGGGAAGCTTAGGGAGCATGGGATAGATGAGTGGACAGCGAGGTGGATTGAGAACTGGCTGAAGGACAGAGCTCAGAGGGTTGTGATCAGTGGTGCTGAGTCCAGCTGGAGGCCTGTAACTAGTGGTGCTCTCCAGGGGTCAGTATATGGGTCCAGTCTTGTTCAAGATATTCATCAATGACCTGGATGAAGGGACAGAGTGCAGCCTCAGCAAGTTTGCTGATAACACAAAACTGGGAGGAGTGGCTGACATGCCAGAGAGCTGTGCTGTCATTCAGCGAGACCTGGACAGGCTGGAGAGTTGGGCAGAGAGGAACCTAATGAGGTTCAACAAGGGCAAGTGTAGGGTCCTGCACCTGGGGAGGAATAACCCTGTGCACTAGTACAGGCTGGGCGGTGACCTGCTGGAGAGCAGCTCTGTGGAGAAGGACCTGGGAGTTCTGGTGGACAGCAAGTTGGCCATGAGCCAGTGATGTGCTCTTGTGGCCAAGGCCAATGGTGTCCTGGAGCGCATTAAGAAGACTGTGGCCAGCAGGTCGAGGGAGGTTATCCTCCCTCTCTACTCTGCCCTGGTGAGGCCACCTCTGGAGTGTCTGGATGTGGGCTCTCCAGTTCAAGAAAGACAGGGAGCTACTGGAGAGAGTCCAGTGGAGGGCTACAAAGATGATAAGGGGACTGGAGCATCTCTCTGGTGAGGAAAGACTGAGAGAGCTGGGGCTCTTTAGCCTGGAGAAGAGAAAACTGAGAAGGGATCTTATAAATGCTTATAAATATCTAAAGTCAGGTGTCAAGAGGATAGGGCCAGGCTCTTTTCAGTGGCGCCCAGTGATAGGACAAGAGGCAACGGGCACAAAGTGGAGCATGGGAAGCTCCATCTGAAGATGAGGATAAAATTCTTTACTCTGAGAGTGGCAGAGCACTTGAACAGGCTGCCCACAGAGGTTGTATCTCCTACTCTGGAGATATTCAAACCCCACTTGGACACAGTCCTGGGCAACCTGCTAAAGGGTCTTGGGAAGAACTGATTTGTGCAAGGCCTTTTTTCTTCAGTCTTCACTGGTAAAACTAATCGTTAGGCTTCCCATGTCCTAGCAGAGTACGAAGAAAGGAAGCAGTACCCATAACAAAGGAAGAAAGAGTCCAAGGGGCACGTGCAGGTGCTGCAAGAGCTGGCCAATATCACTGCAACAATTACCATTGTCACTGTGAAGCCATTATCATTTTAATCCTTAAAAGGTCTTGGCAATTTGATGAGCTTCTTGATGATTGGAAAACGTAGATGTTACACCCATCTTCAAGAAAGGCAAGAATGATGGCACAGGAAACTAGAAACTAGTCAACCTGCCACAGTCCCTGGCAAGCTCATGGAGCTAATCCTCTTAGAAGCCATTTCTAAACATGTGAAGGACAAGAAGGTAAATGGTTAACTTTAACTTCAAGGCTAAACCATGCCTGAGCAAGATCTTTGTTTTCTTTGCTGAAGTGATGGGCACTGCGGACAAAGGGAGAGAAGTGAGCATTGCATACCTTGACTTTAGCAAAGCTCCTAAAATTTTTCTATAGTCTGTCACCAGACTGATGAGATAGGTATGGGATAAGTGGACAATTGATAATGCAAAGCCCAGCTGATGGTCAGTGAACCGAGGCTCACACAGAATTACAGAATCACAGAATTGTAGGGGTTGGAAGGGACCTCTGGAGATCATCTAGTCCAACCCCCTGCAGGATTGCCTACAGCAGGTTGCATAGGATCGTGTCCAGGCAGATTTTGAAAACCTCCAGAGAAGGAAACATCACAATCTCTGTGGGCAGCCTGTTCCAGTGCTTTGTCACCCTCAAAGTCAAGAAGTTCTTCCCCATGTTCAGATGGAACTTCCTGTTCCAGCTTGTGCCCGTTGCCCTTTGTCCTGTTGCTGGGCACCACTGAAAAGAGTCTGGCCCCATCCTCTTCACACCCACCCTTTAGATATTTATAGGTGTTGATAAGGTCCCCTCTCAGTCTTCTCTTCTCCAGACTAAACACCCATTCAACCATTTCAACCACTTCTTCCTTGTCTACGAGTAGCAGGTCTAACAGAGCATCTCTCCTAGCTGAGTCATTGATGATCTGCATCAAGAAATTGCTTCAGAACTTTCCAGAATCTTACGAATAGCTTGATAAATTAAAATCCCTGTATAGAGTAACTAATTTTTATCTTATTTGACTTCAGTTGTGACTTAAAACTTGTCCATATCATGTGCACCTTGTATTGTAACCTAACATTTTGCGACTAAGTTCAGTTAGTCAGTCTGTTCACATCTTGATTCCATTCATCGTTTTGGAACTGCTGCTTGGGTTATCCTTTACTCAAATTTTTAGTGATGCTTTCGCATATGCTTTAAAAACAGTAAGACTGCACAGAAGTATTTCTTTACAGTTGCACCAACCATGCCTAATAAGAAGAGCTTCTGGCTTAAGTCTTCCACCCACAAAGTTTGCAATACCTGGAGATTATGAAAGTTCAGTCTACTTTTTGAATATTTAAATTTTTCAATAAAATATTTTCTTCAGCTCCAGGTTTTATGCTTCTTTCAGGCTGCCCTAGCAGTGGAAACATTTCTGAATGTAACACCTCATTTGGTGGCTTTCAAGGATGCATGCGACTCATTTCCATTGGTAACAAAGCTGTGGATATGATCTCAGTTCAGCAAAATGTTTTTGGCAATTTCAGTGACCTTCAGATAGATTTATGTGGCATTATAGACAGGTAAGAAAATAATATTTACTCATTTATTTACTTATTTGAATGTTTTGTTTCCAATACTGACTTGATGACAAAGAACAGAATGCTTACAAAATGGCATGCTGCGTCTTTTGTAAGAATTTGAAAGCCTAGAATAAATGCAATATACATAGCACAGCAATTAGATTTTCATGCTCTGCAAATAAAATTAGAGTAACTAGGGTTAAAATTATTTGTTTCCAACAATGTTTTAAATATCTTGCTTTCTTTTAAAGTAAAGCTATAGACACAAACCCCCTCCTGTGATATGTAATCCCATTCACCCCTTGAAATACTATGTTCTTTACAAGCTATTGCTGCTTCCTATATTCTACCCATCCAGAAACACAGTACATAGTATTCATCACAGTAAGTAAGCAACCTTTTTTAGGCTGTGGTCAGAACTGATCTCATAACTAGACGGTATTAACATTTATCTAAAATACTGACTAGTTGAAATGGCTCCCTCTGAAGGGAGGAAAGACTATATACCTTCCCTGAAAGAGATTGAAATGTGTGACTGATAAACATTGCTGGAGTTCAGTGTGAAGGCAGAGGATGAGCCAAAAGGGATATTGTAGAAGGCAGAGGATGCTGAGAAGAGAGGCGGCAGACACACAAACAGGGAGTGGAAGGAGAAGTTTTCTGCTGGAGGCTCAGGAGAATGCAGTCACAGGCATCTGTGCAAAGTCTGCTTTAATCGAGAATTGGTTTCCTTGGATCAAACTGAAAGGCTGTACTGAAATGACACAACAGATAAGGGAAAGATGTGTTTGTAAACACTTCTCGCCCACCCCCTAAATTTCTAGGCCTCAAAAGTTGCCTTTTGATATAAAAAAAATCTGGACTTTGAACTATAAGACTTTTAAAAATTGCTTTCTTTAGGGAAAAGAATCTAGACACAAATCTGCTTCAAGATGATAGCCAATTTCAGGTTCAGTCATAAAGATCTATTTCTGTGACCTGCTTTCTAATCACAGAGATAACAGTGTACATCTATCCAGGTTATTATTTTGAAAAAGTCACAATGCCTTGTAGATTAAAGACAAAAATAATACTAGTTCTTTACCTAATTGTTGATAAAAGTTGATGGAGAGAAACCTCCAAAAGGAGGTAAAAAAAATCTGCCTTTCAGTTAGGGTCTGTACTGTGTATTCTCACCAATCTTTCTACATCTATGATGTTTAAGAACATATACAGTTGCATATATATCATTCTAATTTATTCCTTACTGAGTTAATTGTGACTTTGCAGTAGGCAGTAAGTGTGATAGACATATGGCAAAACAGAGTTTGGCATCAGTCAGAACTTTAATATATAACTTGTTAGAGATTTGTGTTTGGGTTGTAGCATACATTTACGTTTCTTTTTAGCTTTCCCACACCCTACTCCTTTTGACTCATTTTCTCACTTTTCAAACTTCCTTCACTATTTCCTTCCTCTCCTCTCTGATAGCACTCATGACACTTTTTAGCTTCTAAAGCACTATATCCCTGCTGTTTTTTCAACTCTGGAATTGAGCTTCATCCACTTCCATTACACTGCTTGCTTTTTTTGCTTGTAACAAAGAGACAGAATCAGAAACAGAATCAGTTCAAAAGACTGTAACACGGGGATTTGCATATTCTTTAGTCAAACACATTAAAGGAGCTCTAAGTAAGATTACGAGTGGAAAACATCACCAAATTGGCTCACAATATAATTGATGCCAATTTCTGTCTCTGATTTACCGTGGTTTTTTCAATGTGCAGTGTAACTGGGGACCTCTCAAAATGCTCTTTTCAGAGCTGTGATTTAGGAACCACCTCTTTCTTCATGAACACAGAGATGTTTTATCTAATTTTTTAAAGGAAGATGGTATATTTTTACATGTAGTGATTCCAGTTCCTTTCAGCTTTCAAGTTGTCACAGTATGTAAGTATGTAAATGGCAGTTTTTAAAAAGAAGTTTGTGCGTATAAATTTGTATAGCCACTCTGTGAATCTCAATATACAGAAATCCAGCATTATTTACAATATGCCAAATGTCGTAACATTTCTCACTTATTCAGTGCAAAATCAGTTGATTAAGAACTGCACCCTACCCTTTTGATTGCTTTTTGGTTGTTTTTAAGCACTGAATCAAAATGGTTAGATTTACATACAGCCCTTCCTCATATTTTTACCTTGCTGAATTTTTATAGCATATGAAGATAGTTACCTTCCTTATTTTATGTCAATACCATTGGCATCTGGGCTTTTCCAGTATGGACTTGTGTAAGCCATATAAACTTCCCAGCCACAGTTTTTTCAAAGTGTTTTTATTACTTTCTGACACTGTATTAACTTTTTTTTTTTTTTTAGTTTATGTTACTCTCATAGTTCATCAAAATTATGTGTGGTTTCCCATGATCAATGATATCAATGATACCAAAGGGGAAAACACAGTCTTTATGGAGGGCTTTTGTGTAGTTGGTTTTGTTTTCCCTAAAATTTGCGAATGTTAATTTGTGTCTTCTTCTGTCTTAACAATTGCACCTTTCTTGCACTAGCTCTGCCAAGTTTAGTTTTCAGCTCTCAGCATGCTTATCATGTGTCTTCCTAACTTATCAAAATAGAAATTTAATCCACCCATTTTCAGCAATTTCATTACTCCCATTATCTTTTATTTCAAAATAGACTGCTTTTAAAAAGTCTTCCTGGTCTTGTGCTAGCTTGCTCCGGGGACTGTTTCATTCCATTTTCCTCACACAGTCTCATTCCATTTGATATCTGCAACTCATCATCTGGAACAAACTTAATGTTTCTCTTGATCAAATTAATTTTACATCTCATCATAAATCCCAGTTGATAAGATACATTCTTCATTGCCAACATTAAAATTGCTTATATGTATTAAACAATTTCTAATAGATAGCTTTTGCACCATATCATTTAAGAGAAAATATTTTCTTCCTAAAATGATTTCTACATCTCTTTTGTTGCCCAGCATTTTTGCCAGTCTGCTCCCAATGGTAGATATCCCCCCTACAGCTGAGGCAAATAAATCACTTCTTTGTCTTTGAGACTTTATGGGAGTCATTACATCTCCAGTTCCAAATAGTGAAGCATGACCCAAATTCTGAAGCTATTGATAGCTTTTGTAATAGAAAGAGTTGACTTCTAAGCGTAATAGTTTTAAACACTTAAAGTGCATGAGCATAAATAAAAATTGCTGTTTGCATAGTGATCTGAAGTTATACTCAATTGTAAATAAACTGAAAAAGATTCTGTTGAGTCCATTTTTTATCTCATATATATATATGTACACATTTAACATATATATTCTTTACTTTATCAGATTTACAATCCTCATTGACAGAGGCTAATCATTAGTTGGCTAATCATTCATTTATTCAATGAGATATAATTTTCTTCTTTTTAAACAAGAAAAAATCCCTACCATTTTCCTACTTTCTATTTTTTCAGTTCCATAAACTTTCCAGTTCCTCTTCCAATGCTTAAATTATTATAACTCTTTGTAGTCATTGCTTTTCCCATGCTCTTTCATTTGTCTTTTTCCTTGTATAATATCTTTATATTGTTCCATTGCCCATACACCTCTTGGGCATGCAAATAGTTCTCTTCATATATTTCTACTTAATATCTTTTTTCTCAGCTCCTTTATCAATATATATTGGTTTAATAGCTACTAATTATACATAAATCATTGATAAAATAACTTTAAAGGACACAGTGTCATTCTAAATGCCTTACAAAGTTCGCACATTTAGTCTCTGAGGAGAGAGTACCAGATGAATCTGTTATAATTACATCAAATCCTACACAGAAATATACAATTGCCTACCAGGAGTTATTGCCTTTAATGTCCTGGCAGCACTGTGTTGTACAAAAAACAGAGTAAATGGGTTTATATATAGACAAAAAAAAAAGACACTGACCCTGGGATAGTAATCAAATATTTCTATTTTTTTCTTAATTGAAGACCGAAGAATGAGAAATAATGAAAATTGCAGCAATTAGTACTTTTTTTCAAAGTATCTTTTAGCCATAGTTTTGAACCATGATAAACAGTTCACAAAAATTTATTTAGTGGATAATCAGCATATCAAATTTTTATGTTTTTCTTATTTATCAAAAGTATATTCATGTTCTGGATAAATGTTCTCCTTTGAATATTAGGTTATGATCATTATTAGCCTGCTGCCTTGTTTCTAACTCATATATCATCTTCAGATATCACACTCAAAAGCATATTATCAAGTAATATGTGGTAAATGCTTAATCAGTTGGGTCTATTCTGGTTTAAGCAGATATAGTGATGAATAAAAAAATTACCTTTTACAGCTGAAGTATTAGAAATACTTTTTCTAATATTGGAAATATTTTTGTTAGAAGATTAGTTTCCTTAGAGAAAGAACTGTCCTAAATGTTGCTTTGGGTATGGTTGCAACGTAGGAAGTAATCATAGCTTTACTTTGATGAACCTAGTGGCTACTTTCTATTACACATTCTGAAACAGTAAGAAGATGTAAAATTTAATGTTAAAAGACTTAAATTATACTCCAAATTGTTTTCACTTCTATTAAAGTTGGTTCAAGCATCATCAACTTCATCTTAAGCTTTTCATTTGTGAACACTATTAGGAAGATTATTTTATACGGACAAGGAGTCAATACAAATAAAGACCATGTAAATCATTTACAATTTTGGGATAATGATGTCTTTACCAGAAAGGAATAAGAAAAGAAAAAATATGACTCAGATATATGGAAGCAGAGCACTGTCAGAGGATGCACTGAAAGTCCTGAATGGCAATTATGTTAGAGGACATGTATATATATAACAACTGTAGTCATATCTGTAGAAAGCAAAATTAAGCATTTATTGTAAGAATTATTACTATTCACATTTATGGAATTCTTTAAAATAAAGTATTTAATATCAAAGTAATTTTAATCGCGGTGCCTAGATTTCATTTTTGTGTTCCAAACCAGAGCTCATTGAGACACATATCATCTACAGACTTGTCTAGAAACACATTCTGTGAGTGAGGTAATAGATACAGGATCAGCTTTTTCACTGGCAAAAAAGTCACTTATTTCCTTGAAAATAGGTGACCTGCATCACTTTACTTACTTTACCTACACTTTGCCTGCTAGTTCTTTCTTTTTTTTTCTCCTTTCCTTCTCTAAAACCCCTTCTTATCCTTGTTTATAAACATGAAAGGAAGATAAAATTATTTGAGAGTCACAAGGAGTGAATGTACAAAAGTGCTGAATTATTCAGAGAGCAGATGTGTGAACTGTTGGACTTTCTACAGTCCTAATTTAATACCCTCCTAAGGTTACTTGACTAAATTAAAAGGTATTTTAAGATCCTATTTTTTTCTGTGGTTAATATCAACAGTAAAGCCTTTTTATACTTTCTGAGCTGTATCACATATACACAAATATACACATACACTCACTAAGATTAGGAAGTTATTTAATTTCTGAGATGAAAAGCTAGTGAATAATTGCTTAAAGTGTACCATTCCATTTCAATATATTTTCAGATGTGTTTATACAAAAGATAAGTTTTCTTTTCAACTCATGCAATATTTTATACTTAGGTATAGTGCTGCAGTCTTAACCATTAAGCAGTTCCGGGCAAATTTTCTTTGCAGTCAATCATATTAAATCCAGAAGAAAGCCACCAAAATTCTTCAGGTTTCTGCTCTTATCACCAGAATGAAAACTGGCTTTAATGTTAGTTATCTCTTGTGATGGAACTGAAATACTGAATATTTCACTCTTTCTCAAATAGGAAGTAACCATGATTTTAGAATGAGAAAGAGCTCTCAGGTACCAAGGTCAGTTTTATTTGTTACGTGATTTTTCTTTTAATTTACTATTACTTTTAGAACAATATAAAGAAATCTGTTGTGATGATGCTTTGTTGAGACACCTTTTTGAAGAAATCCTATCAGTTGCAAAACTTGCCAGTGAATTAACAGCATGTAAATCTTTCATTAGCTTATCACTCTATTGAATTGCATATAGTTGAATGGTAATAAGAAACAATTATGCATTTTACACTTTATTTCTGTTCTTACAGGCTTATTGCAGAATTAATATATTTTATATGCAACAGGAATAGTGAGGAAGATGAAGACAAATTCTCTTAATTTTCTAGTATTATATTGGCATCTTCCCCAATGAGCTTGAAGACTTTCTTCATGTTACTATACTTCTTTTCCATGATTTTGCATCCTTTGATAAGTATAAGTGACATTTGAACGAACAGAAAAGAGAATGAAAATGCTTTGTTTTTCATTTTAGGTGTTTGCCTAATTACTGTGAACATGGTGGTGAGTGCTCACAGTCCTGGAACAGCTTCTACTGCAACTGTGCCAATACTGGTTACAAGGGAGCTACTTGCCACTATTGTAAGTCTAAGATGTTTTCTGAATATGCTTTTGTTTCTGATGGAATTTTTTCACCACAAAAATATACATTAGAATTGATCCTTCATATTAGAAGAATTTTCAGGCATGTAAATATTGATAAGTTGGTTCAAGGAAAGGCCTTGAGAATTTAAAATGTGTAGCAGCAAAAACTCATTGAAAGTTCTAATGTTTATCTGTTTCTGTTCCACATTTTTCATAATTTACATGAGACGGTCAGTAATATCCTCTTCCATCCATATAATTCCACTTGTCTGAATCAGCAAATCATTTAGAAATATGTTTAATTCATCTTTATTCATCACAACAATTAATATGAATTTTTTTCTGAGACAATCAGACTACATTCATGTGCAAAGTTAATCATATGCTAAGCCCTAAACACATCTTTATGCAGTTTGCTGAATCAGAGAATAGATTAGAAGAAATTAAAAAAAAAAGAAACATACCAAAAAAACCTATTTTCACAGGAGATGCTCTACGTTTGTATTCCCTTAAGCACATACTGGGAAACAGAATAAATCATTACTCTGGCCTTCATTATATGCTTCTAATAACTAGAAATCCTTATGAAACTTTGCAGATAATTTTCAAAAATCCCAAAGACTGCCATAAAGATCAGATAGATAATTCTATCCTTACAAAATCTATACAATCCTTGTTGGCAGACTTTGTGAAAAGAATGTATATCTACCCACATGTGACTTTTTTGAGAAATCACTGATTTAGAAAACTGCCTATTAAATCTCACTTGTACAGAGTTAATAACAGGGATCACTTTTGCTGGAATGCCTTAATTGTAAGGAATACAGTGGCATAAATATAAATTTCAAGAAAATTTGTGTAACAAAGAAAGGATGCCAATAGTACAGATGCTTTTGAATACCACAGTGTATGATATAGAACTATGACAAGTCCAAAGTGAAGATGAAGGTGATTTGATTCATTATAATTTGAAAAACTGAATGTTGAATGAACCAGTGATGTCTATGAGGACAGATGGGGGCCCTGGTTTCCTAATGATTAGGACTGCGTGAGAAAAGTAATAATAATATAAGAGGTATTGAATTCTTATTCATTGTCAAAAAATACATATAAAAGCCTTGCACAGTGTTCATGATTAATAAAATGCTGTATCTATGGACATAAAATGGAAGACTCAGTACTTGATTTCAGCGATTTTAACAATGGTTTTAAATCAAGAATCTAGGATAATTTTTGGCTATGTTGTAACACTTCTGTGTAATTTCAAAAGAATAAAGTGCCCCTTGAATTCTCAAAAAAACATTCTTTTTGTTATAAACCTAGAAATAAATTACTGATCTTGAAATATTATAGAAACTACCATGTTCATAAAACAGTAAATGAATAATTACCATGTTTAAAATTGACTTAAGACCTTTTACTCTAAGGAGCCATAAAATTTTGTTTGAAAATTACATGAATTATGCATTCTGAAAATTTCATATAGTAAGCAATCTGAATGAATTGTTTATGTTTTTGATAGATTTTGCCATATAATTTCAGCAACCATTGGGCAAAAAATACAGACCATACTTTTCCAAAACTAGCTTATTTTTAAAAAACCAGCATCTCTTGTGGATTACTGTACTAGTACTTTATAGCTTTTTTTTTTTTTTTAAAAAAAAAAAAGGACCAAAATCTTCTAGACTGTTATTATGGAAGTACGTTTTTATTTGTATAGCAGTCATAATTTTTTTCTTTCTGAATCTAACAGTGCTTTCTTATTGGCAGAGTGTTTTCAAGTTATTATGATAACTGACAGAGCATAGTCTAATTTTGAAAGGAAAGACCAGAACAGTATGATTGCTTGATAGCAATATAATGGTTAAAGGACACATTAGGCTAATGTGTTCCAGCTGTGGGGGTTATCATCTGTGGTTCCTGTCTGTTTAAGTACAGAGAGGAATTCAAGTCCTTTTTCTCCCATTTTTGATCATAAAGAAGTCACCGCAGACTATCTTTAGGCCTTGACTGATATAAAGTATACGTGACACGGGACCGAGGAGCTGTCATTTTGTCTTTGCTTATTTGGTTCTTTTAATGCAGTCTCTGACATGTCATTTGCCCTTCTATTTAAAAAAGGAATAAAATAAGAAGTGTGAAAGCCAAAAAATGCCAGGAGACAATCAGAACACCTAGAAACACTTCCTACCTTTTGTTGCATGTAATAACAACAACAACAACAAAAATCTGATTTGGTTGAGGCAGTTAGTGTTTGTTTCCTCAAAATCTGATTACCAGGGTCTAAGTAATACCCTTAGCATTCACAATACTTTGCAGTTTTTACAACCATTTACTTACCCATATTTCAAAGTTTCCTGCCTGAAGTTTCTAGCTTGAAATACGGAAGAAAATGCTTGAAAATGCCCCTTGTGATCTGCCCGATAAATAAAACCAAACGCATTTTACAAATTCAAATGAAAGTATAGTTTTGATTATGTGATTTCTTCTGTATTCTTTAGCAGTGAATGCACACTTATTTCCCTCATTGACAGGCTCCAAGCACTTTTTTTTTAATTCCCTGAATGGAATGTGTTCTTTTACAGCCATCTATGAGCAATCATGTGAAGCCTATAAGCACAGAGGGAACACTTCAGGCTTTTACAATATTGATTCAGATGGAAGTGGCCCCTTGGGACCGTTTCTTGTTTACTGTAATATGACAGGTGAGGTGATAAACTTCCTTAACTCACAGCTGGGTCTGCATGCATGCTTATTATCTTGAAACACGAGTTACCAAGTAAGAAGCCTCTGTAGCTTGTAAGTTTAATGTATACATGCACAACAAACTGAAGGTGACTCCTTAGCTCAGAATACTGGGCAAAGAATTAGGCAGAGAAATTAGAATAATAACAGGATTCAGGCTAAGCTAACACTGCGTTGCTGTTGTGCTTTGCATAAATGGGACACGTTTTCCATTTGGAGACAATGTAATACTAGTTCATTTTTGGGGAGCAGCTTTGTTTTCATTGAAGTTACAGCCTCTTAAGGACATTTAAAGAAATGAGAACTAAGTTATGTTTTATGAGAAAACTACTGATTTTTCCAAGTAGCCTTCTGAAAAATTCTAATTCAGAACTGGCTTTTGTTATGAGGTATATTTACATTAAGCTTCATTTTTCAGACTGCAAGTAGGTATTTTGGAGAATGCAAATGCAACAAGTGGGACTCTCGCAGCCTCACTTTCAGGCACCCTGCTTCCTCTTCTGTACTCAGTTCTTTGAATCCGACCATTTATATCACCAGAAGTTTTAGATACCAGCATTTGTCATCGCTCTGCTTTTTAACAAACCAGTTGACGTTGTCTATGTATGCCTATCTGTATATGTCATTTCAATGAAGCTTACATTGAAATGGCTTTTTGAAATTTATTATTTTTTTATTTGTGTCTGTTTCCTTTTCTTTTTACTTAGACTGTATTTATTTCAACTGCTTTCCAGCCAAAATGATAGAAGCACTTAATTTATGTGACAAAAATAGATTTTTACAGTTACAACTGTTTAAAAGATTTCATGAATAAGCTACAGTTGAATTTAGTTTAGGTATGTCCTAAGTGTTGAGAACTTGACTTAGAAACCTTAACATAAGCTTTTGATGTTGATTTGTAAACAATTTGTGTTTACATCTATTTCTTGAGAAACTGACAGGACTCTGCCTGTCAGTGCCATTGGTTGATTTTCATAGGTATCTAAAGAATACTTATTATACATGTTGAAATAATAGAATTCTCATAATTTCAATCAGTCTGTGCAATTTAACTAGTCTCACCATGTCAGCTCCTGACTTTAATTCTACAAGGAACTGTGCTAGCTCACAAAGGGAACAGTTCAGATTGGCACAGGCCCTTAAAAAGAAATATCCTAGTGTCCTATGAGACTAAGAGAGACCAAAGAATCATGGCAGAAAGATGACAACTTTTTTAAGTGGTTATAACCCTCCAAGGTACAGTGTAGTGTCTGATTTATCCTTGTGTGTCCATGAACAGCTGTTACTGTTTTCCTCAGCCACTCCTTATTCACCACATTAAGCAAACCTCATTGATCAGTTCTTTACCTCGAGATGCAGCCTGACAGGATGAATCTTCTGTATTTGTTTTGTTCCCACTTTCCTCATGATTGGTATTCCCTTTTCCCACCAGAGACAGGGAAGGCAGATGCACACATTTCTTACAGCACTGCCTTGTCTTTGACATTCATGGGGCTCTAGTTTCAGTCAGCTGGGAGGGAGGTGCCTTTCCCAGATTTTATTCTTGGAGGTCAGTTTCAAAATGAAAAGCCTACAGTCCACACTGCCAGTTAAGATGACCAAACTTTGCAGTGACCTGCTTTTCTCGCTGCAAATTTAGGAGTGTGACCATGAGTCTGATGGCTGACCTCTTTGCCTTGATTTTTATGTTCAGCATAGCCTTTAGATATATTTATGTTTGTGTGTATGTGCATGTACAAAAAGAAATGTTTGCTGTATTTCCAGCCATTTGCTTTTTGACATCATAAGCATGTCCTTAATAAAATTTTATAATTTGATGAAAAACTGGTAAGCAATGATACAAAATTTGCATAAATAGACTCCTTTAAATATATATTTTTTTCCCAATAGGTGTCTCAACATGATACTTCCTTTTGTTTTTTTAATGAATACTTGTCCTTTAAGTGACCATGAGTTCTTTCCCCTCTATAAATATAATGTCGGCCATATATGGGCTGTAGGAAACTAATGAAATAAAATACAACTCTGTTAAATAGTTAGAAATACTACTAATAGAAAGTCACAAATATTATCATCAGTACTAAAAGTTAGAAAAAATAATATTCCTCGTATCTACTCAAATTACATTGCCCACAAAGATACAAGAATAGAGTGGACACGAATCTAAACTTGACTTGACTGACCCAGATCAGCTTCAGCTGGGAGCCTGCTTACCCTTACCTTGAAGTGGATTTTAGTCATGGGGGTCAGACTGTTACAGGCTTTGCAAGTAGAAGTTGGAACAGAATAATCTCAGTACTTCCCTGTTCATCGGTGAGGGGGCTTGGGAAAATTACAGCAGAATCACACGATCCTTTTTCAACCACCAATATTTAGGCCAATTTATATTTTCAAAAACATGGAGGGAGTAATCTCTGTACTTCCAAGCAGTGTATCTGATATTACATTTCCTTGTATG